CGAATATGAAAGTTGTGGGTCGATAATAAGGAAGATATCGTCCTTTGAAGATTGCGACCGCTCAAAAACCGCTCAAAATAGACAGAAAATGTTGATTATGTGGGAACTGGAAAGGCCCCGGTGACTTTTCACAATTCCTCCATGCTTCCGCAAATTGTAACAATTTAGTGACAATAACATGAAATTTCCGTCTCGCTTGATGGACATGTGACAGAAAAAGAACGACACTGATTGCGCGACCGCCAAAAAGCTTGGGACTTTTGCTTCCATATTTCATATTTTGTTATTAATATTCCTATCACTTCCACTTGTAACGCAATTTCATCGGCATTATATTTCCAAACGTAAAAATTGAGCAAAAGCCACCGATAAGCTAATTACTTATTTGCTCGACTAAAGGATATGATTGCGCTAATTAAGTATTATTGCGTTCCCATAGGCTTTTCGGTACCAATTCATCTGATAAGTGAAACACTCATTGTTTACAGTTTCATCAGTTGAATCATGGATCTATTTATTGTTTTCCGTCGGCTGACTTAACTTAATTCACCTGCCCAGTACCCAAACGAATCGCTGTATTTATACTTAACTAAGCAAACGAGATTCACAAAGACAAAAAAGCCAAAGCCACGTTTTTTTGCAAATTGCAAGCGATTTGTCTGTTGGATTTTAACGGTTCTTGCCATTCTTTACTAACTCTTGAGGATGAATGGTGCTATTTACACAAACCCAAAAAAACAATGTCTAAAAGTCAGAACGTCGATGTCAGTGACTGTTCCTCACATGCTGTTGCGGCGCGCAAAGCACCATCGACGTTCTAACTTTCAGATAACTTTTATATTTACTGATTCACTGAACTGATTATTAATAAAATAATTAAACAAAACATTCCACACATTAACACCGCGGCATTGATAAAATAAAACAACTAACTGTTCATATTAATCGGTGTGCGGCAACGAAAATAATCTTGAACACTTTGTTCCATCAATGGAGTTGCAGTGCGGAGCGATTTATCACCTCAATCGTGAAGGCATTAACAAGTAATGAGGATTTTTAAACAAGATCCACTCGTATTTCAGTCGATTATCCTGCATGTTTCTGCCAGTCGTGCATTAGTTGATTGTTATGGGCGCAGACAAAAAGAAACTCCATTTAAGTGCGGTTAACAAAGCGTAAAAGCGGCTGAAGAACGATAGTCGGACAATTAAAGTAATTTTCAGGCGATAGTTACTTGGCGACTTTGGCGATATTTTCCATTAAACTGTCTTACTCTTCAATTAATTTCTTTAGGCCACTGGAGCTTGGTCCCAAGCAACTTGACTTA